GCTGACCATGACCCTGGCAGGCTGACCATGACCCTGGCAGGCTGACCATGACCCTGGCAGGCTGACCATGACCCTGGCAGGCTGACCATGACCCTGGCAGGCTGACCATGACCCTGGCAGGCTGACCATGACCCTGGCAGGCTGGCCATGACCCTGGCAGGCTGGCCAGGACTACTATGCTGGCCATGACTACTATGCTGGCCATGACTACTATGCTGGCCATGACTACTATGCTGGCCATGACTACTATGCTGGCCATGACTACTATGCTGGCCATGTCCATTTTTTGTGACTGTAGACTTAAAGCAACTCTGTCACATAAATAAAATTCCAGCTCTGATGAAAAGGAATCTCCATCCAAACTCTGTTCAGACTGCATGTATGTCGATCTGCTGTGTCCCCTGCTGTACTCAGTGGATCTTCCCGCCATAAACCCATTTCACTACATGACATAGTAATGACGTAAGCTGTGGCTGGAAGAACCATTGAGTACCACGAGATCGACTCTTTTACAAATGTTGGTTTCTCCACAGACTTCTGCTGGTGGGTATTTATTTTTTTACACCTAAAATGGATATAACAACACACCTTTAATTATATTTTTAACAGACCAAAGGGGAGCAAGTAAGACCATTTTATTGTTCTGATTTACATACACTTTACGTTATGTTTTAGAAACGCATGACATTCTGACTGTGTGATTGGTATTTGGGCGATATGGAGACGTACAGTGTCTTACAGCCGATCAACCTGCGTTAGTGCATTCTGTAGCAAGTCTCTTATTGGCGTTCTGTTTTGGTTTGAGTAGTCATTTGCTATCTGGTTTTAATGTGCCCTTGTTCCTCCCAGTTCTACAATTACAGTAAAACATTTCCATTGCAGAGCTGAGTAGTCTTTGAACATGAATTACTACTTCATAATCTAAATCGTTTCCAATTCTACAAGGTAATTAAAACAGTTGGGGCTCCAGAAAATGGATCCACATATTTGTAGTCCTCCATTTTCTTTTAACTTTTAATAGTGAAAATTGGTCATAACTCTGGATTAAACATTAATTAAGACCCTGAACATTTTTTTAGAGAGCTTATGCTTGCGGGACTGGTTACTTTTAATTATAAATAAAGCAAAGATATTTGTGTACTGGGGATTTTGGTGTAAGTGCAGTTCTAATTGGGTTATAGCAGCTGTTATATTTTTTTCCTGATGATGGTAACAGTACTGAATGAGTTGTATATTCTGCTACTCCGTATTAGAACTTGTCTGAAAGTAGACGAGTATATAATCGATTATTGTAGGCAACAAGAACAGATGATGCAGTTTTATTGTCTACACTCCTTATCAGTCAAATATCAGGTATTCTGTAACTAATGAAATGCTCGTAATTCTTTTCCTAGTGTAGGAGATGTATTTAAAGGAATAATGTGCGTGTCACAGCTGAGACAGACGAGCTAGTTTATAAAAATTGACGTAGAAAAAGCTACTTTTACCCAGTCCATGTCCTTGTTTTCATGTTCACTGTGGGACACCGCAGACCTCTGACACATTAGCTGTTCTTTAAGAATTATGTACACTAAGGAAGGATAAAGTTTTCTCTTGTATCCTTTGTGTTGGTTATCAAACGATAGAATCTTCTTGGGTGCTAGAAATTGCTCCTTGTAAAGTTGACCTGTGATCTATTCTAATACCACCCCACATCCTAAACTTCCTGCCCCAGTTTACTACTAAATGACAAAAGAGAGTTTGCAATAGGGATGCACCGATACCAAGTACAGTACTCGGTACAGGTACAGATACTTTTCCAGCTCCAAGACTAGACTGGAGAAAAATTCAAAAGTTAGGAGGCAGCTGTCATTTGTAAGGAGCACACGGAGCACCTGGGATGTGTACATCTCTGTTTTAATGTATGATTTTGTGTATATATATATATATATATATATATAATGCGCCGATACCATTTTTGCAAGTACTGATACTCGTCCAAGTACTCACAGATAAAAGCACTGGTTCACTTTTGTTTGTGGTCATAGTTTTTCTAAAACAATACAGACGAATGATTTCAGGACAGTGGTGGAGCGCCAGAGCCAGGTCCCAGCTGCAAGCGCTGCAATCCTTGTAGTTCTCATGTAAATGCCAAGTATCGGCACTGGTATTGGTGCATCCCTAGTTTGCAACACTTGATTTTTGAACAAATTGCTCCTTTTGGGATCCATCTGATTCTGGTTACACTACCAAATCTTGAGGTATCTCAGTCGAATGGGAGGATCAGTTTTTAGGATGCGCTGCTGATTAACTGGCTATGTCTGTATGTCGCTCCCCTAGTCCATTTCGGCAAAGATTTCTCACTTGGATCCTGACAGTTTGGTCACCTGATAAGTACTGGAAGTATGCCGGGGAAGCGATTTTTTTTTTTTTCTTTTTCAGTGTAGTTTAAGTATTTAGAGAGACACTGATTTTTCCCATAAGGGCAAATTGACAATGTCTTTGTTAAAACATCACATTCTTCCCTCAGCCCACTGATGCTTATGTCTCCAATGATCCCCTGTCTCTCATTCCTCCGTTGTAATCAGCACCATAATACCCATTGTTAGTTACCAGTGCCTAGACGCAGCAGTGATGTCGCCCTCTTTTTCAAATCAAGTGCTTGGACCTAGCGATTGGCCCCAGTGTCTCTTTAGGCTGCTTGTACCATTTGAACATACTGCCATTAGACTGTAGGTCAGCTTAAAGACACTTTTTACTAAAAAAAAAAAAGGTCTTGTATCATTTTAGTGGTTAATTGTACCATATCTCCTCAGGTAAAGAAGCTGCAGTCAATTTTGAAGCCAATGATGTTGAGGAGGTTGAAGGATGATGTGGAAAAGAACCTGGCACCCAAGCAAGAAACCATTATTGAGGTGGAGCTGACCAATATTCAGAAGAAATATTACCGAGCAATTCTGGAGAAGAACTTCACATTCCTGGCCAAAGGGGCCAACCAGCATAACATGCCTAATCTCATTAACACCATGATGGAGCTCCGGAAGTGCTGCAATCATCCATACCTCATCAACGGTGAGTGTGGCATGCAGACCACTTGTTTTTAAAGTTTTTATACATTCCATCATATCCTTGGAATAACAGTATAAGTACTGCCACCTAATTGCTTTTTATAGTGTTAAAATCTTCCAGCAAAAAATGTGGACAAGGCTACCTTGGGCAAATGTTTGCCAGAAAAATATGAATAATACATTTAACAAACTCTATTTTTAGAAGTCCCATATGTGGCCCGTGGAGCCACAGGGTGCCTGTGCAGCCTTCCTCTGGGGTACTCTACTGGGCATGTGCCCACCATGTACTTTCTACTGGTGGGCACTGAGCTGGCCACACACTGCTTCTGTAGTACTACATGGGGGGGGTGGGGGGGTTCAGACCTCTGCACTACTACACAGGGTCCCTGCTTCTGCCTTTAGAGTTGGGACACAAGACCCCCTCTTTATTATTGTGCCATGATCTTCCACATCACTTTTATCTTTACGAGTTATAGAAAGCAAGGTGGCAGCTGCTGCTTTCTAGCTGTTGTAAAACTGAAAACATATGGCATTTCCCAGTTAGGCAGTTTGCTTTTGGCTCAGAGTTCAGCAATAATATCCAGTAGTAGTAAATCAACTTGGACTTTTTTTAATAAAAGTTTCAGCATACAAGGCTCCTTGGCTTTTTTGATTGGAAATTCTTTGGCATTTAGAGGAAAAGTGTTATGTTGGCACATATAGTTGCACGAATAACCTCTCCAGTTTTACTTTTTATAAGTGATGTGGCACTTTTTACTTGTCTATATTTGTGTTGAATGTAGAGATTTGTAGATTTATCCACTAGAGGAAGGGTAGATTGCTCACTACCTCCCTGCTTGGCAGCTATGAACTGATAAGATATCAGCCACACAGGGAATGCATTGTTTTTTTATGGGTCTGCCAACTGATAGCTTGCATTGGGAGATAGAGCAGGAAAACACAATCATTGTGTAGCACTGCAAAACTGGAAAAAAAATTTCAAGAATCATTGCAAAACCAGTGGTTTGGTGGTGACATGTTTGAATAGTGACATTTCTTTGAGAACATTTGGCAAGGCCAGTTGCGTTTTGATTTACTACCATAAGATAATCCACCAAGCTTTGTTTGCAAGAGCAGTTATCTTTTTTTCTTTCACTTGCGTTGAAAAAACATTGCCTAACTCAACAACCCAATGTGATGATGAGGTGAGAAACGGCTGTGTGAGTCTGTGTGTGATGGGGGCCGATCCTTGCCTTTTTTTCAGAGAAAAGGGAAGGAAGGGGCTCTTTTTTTGCAATACTGTTAATTATGCTGATGACATCACAAACAAACAGGTTTGAGGGTTGGCAGACGTCTCTGCCATCATTCTAGGTGAGAAGTCTAATCTACTTTTAAAGTGCATGTGCTCATTTTTACCCAGGTTTAACTCAGTTATCAGTGCCGTCTGACCTTACTAGTGAAATTATACCTAGATCTGTGTAGTTGGAATGTGTGTCACCTTCTGTTTACTTTGTAAATTGTAATAGAGTTCCAGGACTTATTCAAAGAGACATAGTCAGTAACCGATTTCCCTTCACTGACTTCCCTTATGTGTCAGTGCTTGGTTCTGAGTGGCTAATCAACAGGCCAGAACACTATCACATTACGGGGGGGCCATGACATCATGTCCTTTAACACGGGCATTTAAACCAGTGGAGGGGCCAGCAGGGCAATGTGGCTTGGTAAGTATACATTCCTGGGGAGGGAGAAGTTAAGCAATGTGCAACCACTGTCACTTTTCCCATGTGCCTATTAAACCTGCTGAAAATATCTCATGGTCTAAAAATTCTACAATTTCCCTAGGTGCTGAAGAAAAGATTTTAGAGGACTTCCGCAAGAATCATAATCCAGACGCCTCCGATTTCCAGCTCCAGGCAATGATTCAAGCGGCAGGAAAACTTGTGCTGATTAATAAGCTATTGCCGAAACTCATTGCTGGAGGGCACAAAGTTCTCATCTTTTCCCAGATGGTTCGCTGCTTAGACATCCTAGAGGATTATCTCATCCAGAGAAGGTGAGTCACCTCTAGTGATGTGTACAGAAGGAAGGGATGAGTATAGTGTGAAATTGGCTGTAGATTTTTGCCTCTGTAGAATCTTCAGTGGTGGTTAGTGGAAAAATGGACAAACGTTATCTTATTTGAAAAAGGTGTGAATTGGAGGCACTCAGGAACGATGAGGAGAGACTGCTGTCAGCTACTGTTCCCCTGCTGGACGCCGGCTGCAGCGTTCTGTGCCCCCTTCGATTCCCGTTGCTTCTGCTGATACAGACGGGAAGAGCAGTGGGAACACAGACTGCAGCATGCAGCGGGCTTCCAGTGGAGAGGAGAGTGGAAGGAGCAGAGCTCCAAAAGCCCCACATTTATATTTTCTTTGTAAATGTAGTATCTACTTATAGCTGTGGTTTTTTTATTTTTTTTGTTGTGTATTTTGCCTGTTGCCTTTTAATAATTCTTTGATGTTACAGGTATACTTATGAGCGAATCGATGGAAGGGTACGAGGTAACCTGCGGCAGGCAGCCATTGACAGATTCTGTAAACCAGACTCTGATCGTTTTGTATTCCTGCTCTGCACTCGGGCTGGAGGTCTGGGAATCAACTTGACAGCTGCCGACACTTGTATTATCTTTGATTCTGATTGGAACCCTCAGAACGACTTGCAGGTAATATGCGGTGACGTGGTGACAACATGGGATCATTTATGTGGTGGAAATAAATTTGCTCCGAGGGCAAGTTTTCTGACCTGTAGCATGAAAAATGTTGGCAGGAATTTGGCCGGTGTGGCTTGCACACTTTCCTCTTCCCAGTTATGTGTTTCATTGCGCTGTATGAAGGCCCTTGGTTTTGAAGAAAGACTAGATGAACTGAATTTTTATACTTTAAGAGATGATACATGGGGGATATTAGAGGAACTGGATGCTTTTCTAAATGCACAAATTCTAAATGGCTGCTAATATTTATGAGAAATAACATTTTAGATTGGTTATCCAGGGAGTATCCAATTCCCTTTGGGGATCGGGAAGGAATTTCTTTCATATTAGAGCAGTCTTTATAATGGGTTTTTGTAGGTTTAGTGTTCTGAGGATTTAAGTTTTTTTGGGGGTTTTTTTTTTTCTTCTCTTCTTTGGTTGAACTCTCCTACCTCCTTTTGTAGTTGCTGGTCCTAAATTATTCCTCTGTCTGTAGTGCCCTGTTTTCTGGGTCTTTAAAGACATGAATTAGAATTTTTACATTGTTTCATTTCTGTTGCCTGACTTTTTTTGACTTTTATGTTCTGTTTTCAGGCCCAAGCACGTTGCCATCGTATTGGTCAGAGCAAGGCAGTGAAAGTGTATCGTCTGATTACAAGGAACTCTTATGAGCGGGAGATGTTTGACAAGGCCAGCTTAAAACTAGGTTTGGACAAGGCAGTTCTACAGGACATCAACAGGAAAGGAAATACTAATGGGGTATGTTTCTTGGATTACTCTATCGCTAACACTATACGCTCAAAGTGTTCTTTGCGAAGAAGAACTTTGATATTGACCCATTCTGCTGTCCATGGCGTAAATAACTGTATTGAAGATGAGAAATTACCTGTTCGCCCTCCGCACTTTGTGGTTTAATCTGCTGGCCCTACGTCTCTACTATACAGAGGGTTTCAGCTGTGTCTGAATGCACAGTTTTCCAAACAAATGGGTCCTTTATGCAATAATTATCTTCCTTTTTATAGCTGTATCTTCTTAGCAACATATGTATTCATTTATGGTTGTATTTGTAATTTTTAAAAACAACATTGTATAAGATGAAACACCTCTTCAGTTTGTGTTTTATAATTGAGAAGTTTTTCCAGTTCAATTGTCTTTCTTTGGATCTCCTGTAGGTGCAACCGTTGTCCAAAATTGAGGTTGAGGATCTCCTCCGGAAAGGAGCATATGGTGCTCTGATGGATGAAGAGGATGAAGGTTCCAAATTCTGTGAAGAAGACATTGATCAAATTCTGCAGCGTAGAACACAGACCATCACTATCCAGTCTGAAGGAAAAGGCTCAACATTTGCCAAGGTAATCGTGGAGGAAGATGATAAACTGCCACACAGAGGGTCCAAGTTGTCACACTCACATTTTCAGAGGGTTGGGAATGATCAAAAGCTGATGAGATATGATAAAGTCACAAACATTTGCCCTTTGGTAATGAAACACAGTTATTTCTATATTCTTATCCATTCGAGACAATTCCCTGACACTGTTTGCAAAAAAAAAAAAGGCTCAAAGGTTGTTGTCCTGGAACTATTTAATTGTAATTCAATTTGCTTTTTTATTGTATTGAGTTGCAAAGTAACTAAATTTTGCAAGAGTTGTATTCGATGGTGTTAAATGACGACTGAATTGTTAGACCACAATAGTAAGATACATCTGATGTGCATAACTTCTAAGAAGAAAGCAGAGCCTTTATAATGAACAAGCATGACTGCCCGTATGTAGATAAATAGGGGCTATATAGAAAAAGAAGAATTTTAAAACACTAATTGATAATAAAAAATTTAATTTACGGTGATCACACTCCCATGCATGTTTGTGGTAAGAAGAATACTTCCTGTTTTGGAAAGACAATCATAAGTAAAGGAAATATGAAGAAAATAGACCCCTGTCACTGGAACTTGTGATCCAATTGAATAATTTCACCTCAACCACTATTCTGGTGGCAGCTGTAGAATTTTGTAATATTACTTTCTGTCCTGGTTATAATGACCATCCAGACAAATCGAGAATCTCCCCAGAAGGCATTAAAAACTGTATGACTTCTCCCTGCTCTGTCCGCAACTAGACTATAGATACACTTAGGCCTGGATCACACCTGGGCGTTTTACAGTGCGTTCCTACGCTCTGTAAAATGCTCAACATGTGAAAACCAATGATTGCCTATGGGCATGGTTCCCACCTAGGCGTTTTACAGCGCCTAGGAACGTGCTGCAAAGCGCCCTATGCCCAAAGAAGTACAGGAGCTTATTTGGGGCGTATTTGCCGCGCGTATCCATTGGGATACAGCCAGGTAGCCCTCGGAAACGCACGTTTGGCGCGCGTGTTTTTACCGCGAATCGCGGTACAAACGCACATATTCGATACGCCTAGGTGTGAACCCAGCCTTAAGTATTTCCACCAAGACAATGGGCTTTATTTACTAAAGATAAATTGGCTATTCACAATGCAAGGATTTTTCCCTTCGCCTAGTGAATGAGATAAAGCTCACTTCCATCATCCAGTCATGTGCAAGCAAAAATGCTGGGGTTTTTAAAAAAAAAATTTCATTGTTCTTGATTGGGTATTCTTTGCAAAGTGAATTTTTACCACATTCAATAAGCTAAAAGATAATTCCCTTGCAAAGTGGGCAGCCTATATGCCTTTAGTAAATATGTCTTTGGCCATAACTTGCAGGACACCCCATTTGTAACATTAATATAAGACCTCAATTTTGGTTGAGCAACTGCTATTTTCTGTATAGTAATTGAATGCATAATCTGCTATATAGTTACTGGTTCCTGTTTCTCAGTTTGTCATGGTTATAAACAACAATGTGAATAAAAAATTTTTTTTTGGCCTTGCAATCAAAGCCACAAGTTGTGTGTTGTTGGCCATCTACAGGTACTGTTGGGGCCCATTCACACCACATCCTGATCATCTCCAGACCAGATTGTTTCCGGAACCAAAATGCATCCTAATGTATCCCTATGCTATTTCTGGCCTCTATTCACACCAGCACAGCCGTTCCAGACCAGAAAGATACTGCATGCCTCATTTTGTCTGGTCTGGAATGCACTGGAACGCAAAGAAATGCATCTAAAACACATACAAACGCACTGGAACACACCTGTAAGACAATTTTAAGTTGGAAAAAAAAAAAGGTTTCCGAACGCGGCAAAACGCAATGCACTGCGTTCCAGATCTGGTCCGGAAAATGGTGTGAAAGATAGAAGTACAAAACTGTATACTGAAGAGGTGTACAATTTCTTAAAGTCTCCTTCCTTCTACAGGCCAGTTTTGTGTCCTCTGGTAACAGAACAGACATCTCTCTGGATGATCCTAACTTCTGGCAGAAATGGGCGAAGATTGCCGAGTTGGACACAGATGCCAAGAATGAAAAAGTAAGCACATTTTTTGTAACAAAGTACACCTGCGCTTTGCCACTTATTAAATGCAACTTACCCTTGTGCTTACCTCATCTAGGATAGTTTAGTCCTTGACCGTCCCCGCGTGAGGAAACAAACCAAACATTACAACTCCTTTGAGGACGACGAGCTGATGGAATTCTCAGAGCTCGAGAGTGACACAGAGGAGCGACCGACAAGGTCACGGCGACTGAATGACAAAACACGCCGTTACCTACGGGCGGAATGCTTTCGAGTGGAAAAGAACTTACTCATATTTGGGTAAGTGGCCTCTGTTGTTAGGTGCCCCATGGTTTGGGAGTAGTTTTGAATAGGGCAGGGATTTTTAACCGGGGGTATCCTTACTCTTTGGGGGTAAGGTATCTAAATTATTCTCTGCATTTTTGAAACTGAAATCAAATTGCAGGATTGTTAATGTATCAGATGATATTTGAGCAACATTGTGAGTATCTGGATCTCGATTCCATATTTTGAGTGCATAAAAACAGCAAAAACCTCACTAGTTGTAGTTAGTCTTTTGTCAATTGTACATTTGTAATTTGCTCTTTTTATACAAACATGATAAAATCCTTAAAAGAGAACTATGGGGTAAGTATTTTTCCCCATAGTTCTCTTTAGGGTCATGGGAGGACATGTACTAACCTCCTCCCGTGACCCAAAGCTCAATATATAGCGAGCTATTGCCCGCGATATACTGAGAGCGCCGCAGCCGGGACAGATCCCAACAGTACTGTCGTGATCCACCGAGCTGTGACAGATCTAGAGGCAGAGCCAGCTGTGCCCGCCCTGTCCCCCCTCCCCCGTCCGTTCCTCCACTCCGCGCTGGAGGATCGGAGGGGGGAGTGTCACTGCTCACTGCAGGGAGATGGATCAGGAAGTGAACGGATCGGCTGCATGTTTCTGCTCTTTTCCCGATCTATTGAGCCGACCTGTGACAGCTCCTTTGTAACAGGTCGGCTCTAACTATGAGGATGAGTGGAAATCACTCACCTGATAGTTCTCCTTTTTAAATTTGCTTTAGCTTATCTGTACTTGGCTATTCATGTGTAAAGTAATATCAAGCTATTAACCTTTTGAAGCCATACTGGTATCTAACAGAATTGGCGATGATGATTTTGGCAGTCTGGTAAAGGTTGTATGAGCGCATATAGGTAATCCATTAGGGTTTGTAATTGTGAAGAGGTGAAGAACCCCTGGAATAGGCCATACTGTCCCATGCAGCTATTTCTGTTTGTGCTTTGGTAGTGGCTTTTTTTTAAAGAACAGGGTAGATGTGTTTAAAGCTTAAGTATTGGGTGCTTCTTTCTAATAGATGAGGTCAGTTTAATGCATGCTTTACAAGCACAGAATGTTTACTTGTTAGTTTGCATTGGATCCTGGAGTTCTCTTCCATGACAACTATTTTATCCATGCAGCTGGGGGCGCTGGAAGGATATCCTGACGCTGGGACGATTTAAATGGCACTTAAATGAGAAAGACATGGAGATGATCTGCAGGGCTTTGCTGGTTTACTGTGTGAAGCACTACAAAGGAGATGACAAGATCAAAAGCTTCATATGGGACCTCATCACTCCCATAAAAGATGGTGGAAGCAACCAGGCTCTGCAGAACCACTCAGGTACTAATATCTTTTCATTAATGTATTTGGCCAGCACGTTTGCACACTTTGCATTCCTCCCAGAGTATTGACTAAGAGCTAAAAATAAGTTGAACTCCATTCACAATATGAAAATTGGTTTTGCATATCCATTGACTGTGTAAACCTTAATGGTGCCTCTGGGATCAAGGAAAGCAGTGCATAAAGGGATTTTTTTTTCTGTCTGTCGGAAGCCTGATACCCAAGCACCGGAGGATGATTTCTGTTCCATCTGTGACAGAGCGGGCCTCAGAGCTTAACCGCATAATGTGCATGGAGGAACTTGCATCCAATTTACATGACAGACTTCATAAATCTATTGAAACATGAAGTACTTTGCTATATCACAACATTTCCAATCCTGTTGAGAATGATTTGGCCATGAGCAAAAGACATCTTATCAAGATGTTTATGACTGAGACCCATCGAATTGGCTGCCCTAACTTTATTCTTCAACCACAATTTGCAATCTAGACTCTACCTTTTACCACTTTGCTTTTCTTAGTTCACTTATCACAGTACACTGTTCTATTGTTGCCCCTCAGCACAACTAAGCCCCTGAATTGTAATGAATCATAATGGCTTGTGGGTGAGGGTCTGTAATTCATAGCCCCATTCTAGAGCATGGATACCCATTTTACGTGTTGGGATCTAGATTGTGTATTTGATCTTGGGCCTGCTGTGGTCAGTGTTCTTGTTCTTTCACATGTCGTTTTGTATTCCTTCGACAATTTCAACAAAACTATACTATTTAAAGTTAAATTCCAGGATTGATCTTTTATGGAAGTTTACATTAGTCCAAATTGATTAAATGTAAGTATCCATATCTGATATCTGGAAGGACCCTGGTGATGCTAAAATACATTGATAGCTGGTCTTTTCCGACTGCGGCTTCCCCTCTGCATACTGAACATAGGAAGTTGCTTGCTCGGCACCTCTGCCATTCAGGGAACACCTTGTATTTTCTTGTATCGGCGCATTAAGATAGAGAGTTTGATAACCTTGGATTGCAGTTATAGCATGTCATTCATTGAAGGTTGTAACACCAGAAGACTGAAGTAAGCCTGGTGCCAGAGCCTCTTTTAATGTCCGTATCTCTGTGCTGATTGAATTTTGTTGGATATTTAAAGGTTTGTCTGCCCCCGTTCCACGTGGAAGGAAAGGGAAGAAAATGAAGAATCAGATGTTATTGCCAGAGATCAAGAATGCTGATTGGCTGGCAAGCTGCAACCCAGAGATTGTCTTGCATGATGAGAGCTACAAGAAGCACCTCAAACAACATTGTAACAAGTGAGTAGATGTGGACAGATGAAGCAGGCATTTAAATATTCATTTTCATTCCTGATGCAGACATTGTTTTTTGGCTTTTTTTTTTTTTTTTTTTTATCATTTTAAATT